GATCCAGATAAAGCCACAGTTGTTCACAATTATTCACAAACACACACACACACACACACCTAGTGGTGCTGTTTCCAGCTGGGCTCTGTCCTTGCCTCTGCTGCTGTGAGCTATCAGTGCTCCCTACTGCTCACAGTGGAACTGCAGTCAGCTCACACACTTACATGCATTTACCTGCCGAAAACCCACGTAAATGCATGTCTCTCCTTTCTCGCTCCCACAGATGTGTAATTTCCCTCTCACACATTACATGGATAACACATACACTGTCTGAACAACACACTGTGGCTTCTCGTGAATATATATGGCGTGAAAAAAATAGCAAAAATGCATGTGTTGTTTACTTTTTTTCTTTGCTATATACGCTTTCCATAGAAATATTTTTTCTTTTCATAAAAATCTCTTGCATTATGTATTTGCTGTCGCCACATATGGCTGCCTCTCACACAGTTTTATCTCATGTTGTTTCAAGTTTGTTGTGCAACTTTGCTTTAATCATCTTGACAGAAAAGCCTGTCGGTAAAATTATATGGATCCGTCAAACCCAATGAAGTTCACAGGTCAGGTTCATTGAATGTGAAGCATACAGTACTGCCACCTCACTCCTCAGTATGAGCGACAGCATCGCCGATACATTGGTCTGTGGACACACACACTGAGAATATTCTATGCTATTTGAAGAGAAGATGACTTGGGACACTCAATCCCCTGTTTATGTGCCAGAGTAAGGTCTCTTCCTGCTCTTCTTCTAATTAATTACATCGTAAAATTGATTGTTTGGAGTGTGAGCCTGCAGAAATGTGTTTGGAATGACTTATTATCTGGCTGGACAAAAGAGATGAAATATTAGGCGTTAAGTGGCCCTGGTAATAGAATTCCTCATGAAAGCTCTATTGATCAGGGTGGCCGGGCCTCCAGAGAATTCACATATCATGCAGTCTTAATTACACGCCAGCCAGGAGAGCTAAGGTCAACCTGTAAGCGTCTGAGCATGTACACACACACACACACACACACACACACACACACACCTCGACCCATTTAAAATCACAGATTTGTTCAGAATGAATGCAAACACACACATACAGTAGATACTGTTCACGTATGCAAGACTGCAACTAAGGAATGTTTTCATTATTGATTAATTTGCAGATTATTTTCTAAATTAATTGATTGATCAATAAGATGTCAAACAAACATAATTTTTTTCAGATGTCCTCTTTTGTCCGACCAACAGTCCAAAACCTCAATATTTCTTAAACAGATGACTTCAGAATGGTTCATTTTCTGTATATGAAGTAATTGCTGCAGATACACATACATGTAGAGATCAGATTACACAGTTTGACCTTTACAATGGTATACAAGGACCCAATGATTATTAAATAAGTCTTTATTGGAAAATTCAAGTATTTCAGCAGCATAAATACAGCAAAGTAACCACAGATAAACAGATATTTTAGATATATTAGTAGAGACTTGTTGAAACCAGATCAGACAGATTCTGTAAATGGCCTTTTCTTTGCCATCATGTGTGAAATCAGTAAATGCCACAGAAACAGCTGGCTTTTGTTGTTTTAGCAGCGTGGGCGATTCTGCTTCATTTGACCTTTTACTTGATTGCCCCTCTCTCTCCCTCTTTCACTTTCACTCTCCGCCGTCGTCTTCTCCCTCTCCGTGTCCCTCCGTCCACTGCGGCGCCCCCTGCCCTGTGTTGTGACAGGCACGTCAGGCTGGTGTTTGGCTGCGGTAGCCAGCTCGGTGTGTAGAGCCCCGGGGCTGTGGAGAGCGTCCCTGGGTGTCTCTCTCTCTCTCTCTCTGGTTGGTTGCGGGTCTATCGGGGCATGGAAGCCACCATCACCCAGCACCTGCTACCCCTGACCTCGCTGCAGCCAGGTTGCCAGACTGACATAGTTCACAGAAGAAAACTGCTTTCGGATCAGCAGTTGAATTTGCCACCGTTCACCCATAACTCCATCCATCTGTCATCATGTGCATTGATTCCTCCAAAGGATCTCTCCGTCTTTCACACTGTGTGGTTTTTACATCAGCGCAGATGGCAGATCAGGTTCAACTTTGTTAAGACAGCTTTTCTTGTTGCCTTTGTAGCTTTTCTTGTTGCCTTTTGTAACCGTGTTTTCCTGTGTGTGCTAGGGACCAATGTCCACGAGGCCAAGAGGATTCTGACCGAGAGCGGCCTGCCCATCACAGCAGCAGAAAACCTGGATGACGCCGCCAAGAAAGCAGTGGCTGCCATCAAGAAATAGAAGACTCTCATTGTGACCCAGCTACACTCTGTCCGCCAATCACCAACATTCATAACAACCTCAGTTCATCACCGTCAGCCTTTTCTTCTTTCAGACCTCCAGGACTTCAAGCCTTTGTTCTCATAGGCCTAGATTTATAACACTAGCTTCCAAATGATACTCTCTTTGCTAATTGAGTATATCACAGGTTTTGAGGTGTTGTATCACAACAGAAATTTTGTTTTCTCTATTTAATGCATATTAATTAGGATGAATCACTCTCAGGCTTGTCATCACTTTACATTGTGAAAATCTACATAATCTTGTCATGCAAAATCAGAGAGACCCACACTTTGTGCATTCCTTTTTTTCCATATTATGGCATTTGTACTGAGTAATAATTGAATAAAAGAGAGAGAAATGCTCCACACACCTCCAGCCTTGGCTTAGGGTACTTTAAAGGCACAGTGTGACAGAAAAACAGCCACTTCCTGATTTGTGAAATCATTTGATGGCATTTGGCTACAAATTGAAAGGCAAGCCGTTAACTTTGGATTAATCTGTTTTCTTAGTGACTTCATTGTCCAAGTTGATCCATCCCATGCCTTACCTGTGTCTCGAATGAAGTACCTATGCTGTGAATTTTGTACATCATGTCTTATTTGTTAAGTGCTCAATGGGAAACCATGTGTTAACTGCTTAAACCTGTGCCTATTTCATGTAGGCTAAAGGATTTTGTAAACTATCCCAGCTGTAGTTTCATACAGAGAGGTGCTAAGAAAATAAAATCAAAAATACAATTGTACTTAGATTTTTTTTATAATTGTGAATGTATATTGACAGGATATCACAGTGTGAAAACTGTGTATAATTTGAGAGATTAAAAACATATTTCAGGATTACTGTTTTGTTTATTTGTTCACTTCACAGTAGAGTATCCTGGGGATAAAGACAGAAGCAGATAGAAAGTGAAGAAGAGGTGAAAATGAAAATTCTGCCAATGCACTGGTTCGCCTGGCTTTTTCTGGAGAGAGTACATTTGCAGGATAAATGTAATGTCAGTGGGGGGAAGCAGACCCTCAGCAGTTTGTACAATTGCATGCCTTTGAATCCACAGTATTGACTACACAAGCAAAGAAACACACAGTCCAGACTTGAAATAACCGTTGAATATACAGTAGGTGCCTATTCCAAATAATTCAAGTTCTCTTTGCCAACATCACTACTGCATTATACCAATACCAATTTTTGCTTTAGATAATTTTACTGAAAACTAAATCTGAAGGTCACATAGTCAAATATGTTTAGATTCAAAGTACAATAAGATCCAGATCAATTAGACATTTCAGTTTAAAAAGAAGGATGTGTTTAATTTGAGTTAATTAAGAAAACAAGATGACATCTTCAAATGTCTTATTTTCTTCAAGCAACACTACAAAATCCTGATATTTACATGTATTTATTTGACAGACACTTTTGTTTACTAAACTGATACACTAAGTTATTGTATTGTCAGTAAAAAACTAAATTGTTTGATCAGACTTTCATTAATACAGGTACAAGTGTTTCTTTGTAATACAAGACAAAGCACCAAATCTGCACATTTGAGTAGCTAGAACCTTCAAATGTTTGGCTGCTGATTGTGTTTAACAGTGTCAAAATTTTTTAAATGAGCAGAAAAGGATGGATATTTCATATTTTGTCTTAAACACTCTTGTACCTGATGACAACACGTCCATAGCCTCTGCTGGATTAAAAACTTTTTAATCAAAGGATAAAGAAGCACAAATGATACCAATTTCTACTTAAGACTTTAATCTTTCTATTTATTATATTACATTTTATTTAATGCATTGATTTGGATTAATCTGAAGTAGTGTAAAAAGTTTGCCAATGAGCTCCGGTTTTCACTAAGAACTCGCTCATGTATGCAAAAATATGCCATACAGCATATTACAGATTTTACACTATTTTAAATTCTGGCTTGCTTTTTATGTGTGTATGGCCACACACACACACACACAAAGCCTAACTCTTTAAATCACACACCTTCAGTCCTGTAATGAAACTCAAGTGTATGTGGTCCCAAGAGAGACTTGAGAGGAGCGACTGTCCTTCATAGGCCCTGTGTGTGCAGCACGCAGAGACAGAAAGTTGACTGAGACCTCTTCCTGTCAGACACACTGACTGTGTGATGGATTATCTGTCAGGCAATCTGAGAGGACGCCCAGACACACAGGATCGACTGCCACCTCCATGAAAGACACGCACACACAAAGCATTTTCCCCCTCCTGTATGCACCAGGAGGTTTTCTCTGAGAGGAACACTCAACACACACAAAACCGAGTCTCAAACTGAAGCTCGTCTCTCTTGTTTGTTTTTTTATCAGACAAAGTCAAGAGGACTCCAGACTGGGGCCCTCTGGAAGTTACTGCGGCTGCTACACATCTCTGTTTCCCATATACTGTAGTTAGCTGTAGTTAGAAGTGACATGCTGTGTGTAACTGCCAACCTTGACCTAGAGAGAGATATTAAGTAAAGTTGTTGGCTAACTACTATAATTTATTTGTGATTTATTCATTTTAAGCGTCCCTATCACCTAGAGTCATCTAAAGACACAACATCAGGGGTCTTTGGCTCTGCGCTGCACCGTGCCAGCCAGCCGAGCCGTAGAAATGGGCTGAAGGGTTCAATAATTGCCTTATTTCATGCTCTTCCCTCCGTGTGTCAGAAATATCCCCGCTGATGGATTGGACGGAGGAATTTAAGGCTTGTTAAAGCGGGCTTCTCGGGCCCTGATATTGTTTAATTCAGTGTCAGGCTGGAGGTCACAACGAAATGTGCACACTGATTTACTGGGCAAAATTAGTGCCGCTCCTTCATATAAATATAGATGAGGGGTGAAAGAAGCTTTGGAGGTCAGCACGAAGACTTCTTTCATGAAGCCCGCTGCTTTTAACTCGGCTAATACCTCTGGAGGTGAGAGAAGGGGCTGTTTGTTTTAAACGACCCTTTGGGGCGGGCTGCTCCTTTAATTAAGCTGAATTATTATGCCGTGGGAGTTTTATTTTTCACCCTTGGTGGCTTACTTTATTTGTCTCTGTAATTGTCCATTTTGCTTTCTCAAAACGCGGCAGGTTTTTTATGTGGTTCTGAATTGATGTCAAAACGGTAATTGCCACTTTATGAAGCTGCCTTCAGTGTTTAGGCGCGTCGGGAGAGCCGCTGCTTGGGAAAAGCATTCTTTCAGACAACAGGGTCAAGGCCGTCGCTCAGGAAGTATTGGATATTTATTGAGTCATTTGGAAGCAACAACTATGAACATATTAGCTCATAATAAAGCAATAGCAGCATGAATTGCCTCCGGCTATTGTACTTCATCTTTCAGGGACAAGAGGTTGCTCAATATTTACAATTTTCTGCCTGTGCATCTGTCGACCAGGCAGTGGACAGATAAGATGCATGAGCCTGTGTGTGTGTGTGGTCGATTCTGTGCTGTATGTGTGTGTGTGTGTGTGTGTGTGTCAGCATATTGACGTATCCATCCTTGTGAGAAGTGTGAGCATGTGTTCATGCACACGTTCTTGAGAGCTTCTTATTAAGATGCTGTATATTTTCTTTCCCCATGGGATCATCCAAACACAAAGCGGTGCTTGTTTGTTTGTATGT